TTTAAGACCACTTTCAGACAGTTTGTTGGTTTATTGACACATGACCTATCTCAGTGAAGTTGACGTAGTGAGGCATGAGACAGCACTCTACTTGTGGATCACATCTATTCCACAAGGGATCATCGTAGTAGGCAAGATCCAGCTCCGGAGGTCCAAGAAAATATTTGAAATAGGAAACCGGCTTGTTGTCTACTAAGATGTCCACCTAGATATGTTAGTCAATAGCATTTCCAAGGTCGAGTATTACTTACCTTTACATTGTGCACTAAAGGCTTCTCTGCTGTCACTTCCGAATTGAACCAGCTTTTAGCGCTATGGATCACTTCTATTCGCAGACTGCGGATGCGAGCAATCTCATTTTGCTCGAGGGTTGCTCTGCCTAGCTTTCTGAGCTCTCCATGCCATCCAATAACTTCGAACAGCGTCACAGTTATGCTTACGAGTCCGAGGTTTCGCCTCAGGCTAAATTAACGCTTAGCTTTAGAATTAATTTAACTTGTAGATTTGAATAGATGTGCACGGTGGTGCAAATACTTCTTTTCAAATATGACTCAGTCAGTCTCGCAATATGGGAGTACTTGAATAAACTCGAATTGCAAAAATGCGAAAAATATACTCATTGTAAAGAAGAGTGGTTACAGAACATGCGTATTTATTAGTTATCTATAACGACAAACTTAGCATAAGTGATAAAAACGGCAGCAAGAGAGATAGATTGAAAGAGTATAAACAACTACCTCAAGTTGCCGTTTCAATTGATTTATTGTGTGGTGTTCCACGTTCAACTCTTGTTAAATTTTGACATATCGTATCGATGCTGTTGTGGTTGTAGCCGGCACCAATATTGTTAGACCGTTTATTTGGGACTTTCGGCCCAATCAAGAACATATAAAGCTTAGAACAACTGGATCCCATCAAACATACCCCCAAACGCAGGAAAAAATCTGAGTATAGGTTAGACTCCTGTCCATACTAGAATATGACTCACCTTTGCCGATAAAATAGAAACCACCTCTAGCGGTGTGTGTTTTGCAAGAAATGAGGTCGATTTCGAGAGGTTGAGATTAAAACTTGCATGATCCAGGCATGGAGCGAACTCAGCAGGGAATGGTCAGGTCTTAACCCAGCCATACCAGACAAGCTATATCATCCGATTCGCCTTAGAACGCTGATTTCAAATAT